TGTAAATAAGGTTGATGAGCATGAAGAATTTATTTAGAAGATTATTCAGAATCTAAACGTATATTATCTAACGAACATTAATGTGAAGTACGAGTGATCATTGACTGTTGTAAGAATGTAGTATGATACATTCAGTGATAATGAAGTTAGGCGTAGAGTGCTGGGAAAAGACGTCAACCAAGAAGCTACATAGACTGAGCTGTCTAGGACATGTGCCAAGCTACAGTCTATTAGCTGACATGGGACTAAGTAGAAGAAGAGTCATGGATCGCCAAACTAAAATATGACATCATTCCGTGAGGTGTTTGACAGTTGTATTAAACTAAGTAAGAAGGTGTAGACTGTCTGTTTGTGGTCCTCGAAATGGTGAATGACTGCAAAACTGTTATCAATGGTGCAGATGTATTCACTGCTCTTTATAATCTCTGAAGTCCATTAAATCTTCATATTTACTTAAGCTACTCTCCTTTCTCAGGTATATATATATTTCTGGACATGAGAGTTACAATGAATTACTTGTTTCTCCTTTTTTGTGTACCTATTTATGCTACATGAAGAGTGACAATCAGGACTGCTAGAGCTCTGCTCAAGTTTCTATTTATTCAAATTCAGTCAGGCAGTGATTCATTGGGACCCAACAGCCATTAAATGTTATTTGATAAGCTGTACTACTTCCCCTTGTTGGAACTATTGAATTCTTAGGCCTAAAACTTTTATCTCTGAGTAAGGTCGTTGCTTAAAAGTTCACTCTAAATATTGCTTTAAAATAGAAACATACTCATCACTTGCATCTTAGACAGCAGTTTTATTTAAATCTTATTATGGATGACACTATCACTAATATTATCTCCTTTTTCAGATTCTTTCTCAGTATTTTTCGCCTAGAAGGAAGTATTCTTTATGAGCTTCGATTGAAGCTATCTTTTCTTTGCTGAAGAACCCTCTAAGAATAGAATAATGAAGGAAAACTCTGTTATCAGAAGACTAACTTTTTTCAGTATAGTCTGATATACAACACATGTGGTCCAGGGGTGGATCCCCGGCCACCGACGCACTCCTTCACCTCGCTAAGCCAGTAATAGTACTGGTAAAGACGGAAGGTTAGATATGAGGCTAGCAACCCCATCCCGTAAAGGTAAAAACACCCCGGCTACCGACACTTCAAGCTTCTACTTTGAAGCCCTATGTTCCACAGGGAATGTACAGGAATAATAAAAAAATTATTCTATTAACATTCCACTTTATTATATTTGATTTTATTGGTGCACATTGTTTTATTTTATTATTTATTTCTGAATCCTGATATTAGGCGGTTGCAGGTAATCGGCAGGAAGCCTTGCCTGACCTAGGTTTCATGTCAATTTTTCAGTCACCAGTCAGCAAGGCGTATCTGCAACCTTGAAAGAACTGAGATTAGAAGTCGCACCAACCAGTTTTGCAGTCAGAGACGTTACCAATAAGCCATTTGGGCTAGCGATTGACCTCCTGTGGGATTGTATTAAATACTCTGCTTGGACACTAGTTAATGACTAGTGTAATGTATCCAGTCCTCTGCTTGGTGCAGACTGAATTCTACCAGTCAAGTTTTCAATGTGACCACCACTTTAGGTAACTCACCATCACGGAGCACTGTGACATTAGGTGGCTGGAGGCAATCTCAGACTACAGATACACCTTGCTGAGTGGTGAGTGCAAACTAGCACGAAATCTATGTACAAGGCTTCTTGCCGACTGCCACCAACCATCTAATGTCGACAGTTCACAGAGCACCATGATGGTGGACTTTCGGTCATCCCATCCTATGTCAGTAAAAATAGGATTGATGAGATGCTTAAGTGACAGAGCACAAAAAATGAATGCACCTGCATCGTACATACTGAGTGCAGGGATCGCCACAGTGGCTGCAATACTGCACCTATCGTTTCAATCCACCAGGTCAGTACAGCCAGCCATCTTTTGTGCTACGCGTATGAGATATTATTTGTTTTTAATTCAAATTTGATTTTCTCTTTAATCCTTAGATATCGTCGTTGAAGTGTCCCTACTGGATGACAGCATTTTTACAAAGACTGAAAATTTATTTCCCAATACAAATTTAAAATACGCAACACGAGTTAATAAAGCAGTATTTAATGAATTAATCAGATGTCGGTGGAACTCTTCCTGAGCTGAAAACTCTACATACAGTGATATGAATTTAAGCTATAATGCATTAAGGTTCAATCAAATCATTGAAATAGACATTTAATTATCACTGAGAGAAAGAACTTGAATGTTTCAAGAATTAAGAACTAATTTAAAATTTTTTAAAACAAGGGTTACTGAACAAAGAACAAAGAACTTCATCATCAGGTTCTACAGTTATATATACATAGTGAATGAATGAATTAGTCTTATGAACAACATTAATGTTGTTAAAATAACACCGAATCAATAATACCAATGGATTACAGTTCAACAGCATCAACATAGCAATGCACTGAATATCAGAGAAATTAGGGGAGATAATATTACAAATTTATGAATTTTCAGCCTCCTTTGAAGGCTAGGGCAGTAGTAGTGACTGGATTTGTAAGCGAGTTGTATTGGCTGTTGCTCCAGAAACTTGATTTTTCTTGTTCGAGAAGATCTACCAGTGTGGCTAATTAAAGGTGTAGTAAACACCAGCAAGAGTTCAATATATGACCACCTGGTCCAAGCTGGCCACAAAGACAGCAGTGAAGAATCCTTCTCTATCATCTATCGGGTATCAGATAAACTGCTAAACACATCGAGGTACCGCATACTTCAGACAGCAGAGGCTATCGCGATTCACCTTAAACAAACAGTGCCCTGTATACAGTAGAAGGAAGTCCAACCACTACTACTGCCCTGGACTTCAGTGTAGGCTGTAAATTCATGAATTTGTTACTATTATCTTTCCTAATTTTTCTGATATTCAGTATGTAGTGTTACGTTGATCCTACGAACTGTAATCCATTGATATTACTTTCATTGATTCGATGTTATTTAAACAACATTAACGTTGTTAATAACACTAATTTATTCACCACTGTGTAAATATAACGGTAGAACCTCATGATGAATTTATCGAAAATCATATTTTTTGTTCAGTAACCATTCTTTTGAAAAATTGCGAACTAAATAATATATCGATAATAATAGCAATGCTAATAATAGTAACAATACTAATAATTATTGTTATAATAATCAATAAAATGATGTTAAAACGAGTTAAGATCATGTTGATGATAAAAGATAGTTCCATATGAATCAGAAATAGTAATAATGTGAAGTAGAACAAAATATTAATAAGAATAACATTTAATAAGTAAAACATAATACCATGGTAGTTTCTGAGTTACCACCATTCCCTTTTGTACACACACACACACACACACCTGGTTTATAAACTCTAATTGCACAAGCCACCCGCAGTTGCAAGCATCTTCATGTTTCTTTACTCGCTGACTTGATCGAGTCAATATCATGTTCTTAGTCCACAAGATGCCTTGTCATTGAACTTTTAGGCACTTCGACTTCAGCTGTTTTCAACCACTTTGGCAAATGCGCCATCCTATGAGGGGACAATCGCCTTTCTGGACTACCTATTTTGTTTGTTTGCACAAACACACTCAGATTGACATACACATAAGTTTTGCAGCATATTAAGTTTTCTTGATAACTTTGTCAAGTTTTCGTTTCACTACTCCTTTTACTTCGTCTCCTTTGGATAGCAAATTTATAGATGCAGATTTTTTTGAAGCTTTTTGGATAGTTTTACTGGGGTTCATTCCTTTCGAGTATTTATTGATGAACTTCTTAGGATATCCATTCTTAGATAAATTATCCTTCCGAATCATTATTTCCTATTAAATTGTACTGTGAGAACAATGTTTTCGTGTTCTGTTGAACAGTATTCTAACTAAGTTCTTTTTACATCGGGTTGTAACAAAGCTTTTAAAATGTATATACAATCCTCTTGATGAAAACTTCTAAAAATATGGATCTTTCTATTGTTCTATCAGTCCTTTACACATTAAAGAAACATCTAGGAATTTATTACTATTATTGTGTTATTGTTTCCTTTAATTCCTAGAGGAACATAGGGCTTCAGCCGTGCGTCTCCATTGCGTTCGGTTCTCTGCTAGAGTCTTCACCTGGCTCCAAGTCTGCCCACACGTTTTCATCTCCTCTTCACATGACCTCCTCCAAGTCACCCTCGCACTGACGACCAACTGCCGCCGCTTCCCTTTCGGGTTCCACTTGAGCAATGGCTTGTCTAGTGATGTCACTTGATGGCTTCCTCAGAGTATGGCCAATCCATCTCCATTTCTTCCTGCCTATTTGTTTCACAATCGGTTCTTGATTGGTTCGCTCCCAGAGATCTCTGTTGCTGATCTTTTCTGACCGGCCATCTGATCTTGAGTATTGAGCGAAGACAACTGTTAATGAAGTTCTGTAGTTTGTTTGAGATGCTCTTTATGACGCGCAGTGCAAGTCTCTGATCCGTATAGTAGCACTGACTTCACATTGGAGTTGAAAATCCGGATCTTATTTTTGATGGTGAGTGCTGTTGACCTCCACATGGCTCTATATAGATGTAGGATTTCACTAGCCACGTCCCCGTTGAATTGCAGTTTCAGGAAGAGGTGTTTCCTTTTAACCGTTGACAGTTTCTCTTTATTATACATGGTATTCTTATGTCTCCTTACAAATCTCCTAGGATAACCCATTTTGTACTTTTGTTAACATTATTATTCTTGCTATATCATTAGAATCATCGTTATTACTGATGTTGAAAACATTTAGCCCTTATTATGAATATAATCTGATCCACAAACTCATTGTCATTGGTTAAATTTTTTTTATATATGAAGGTGTGTAAATTAGAGTAAGGCCTGAAGAAGATCTAATTGAATACAACGATACTGTTCGCTTATACATATGTCTTGTTCTAATAATAACAATGGGAAAATTTAAAGATTTGTAAAACTTACCAACAGTAAAATTTGATTTTAACCATTGATTTCGTGTAAATGTTGTTGGAAACATTGAATTGCACTTCTCGGTTATATCACTTGGACATCCAGGATTCACTTCAAAAACAAAAAAAGTGAAGTAAATAGAGACGATAAATGTTACTATGAAAAGACATTTCAAGATTTATTATTTCATCTCTGAGGTTCTAGTTGTACCACTTCCTAGAAAAAAACTGACATAAGTATAAAAAATTGGAGCATAAATGTAGAATATGAGTTCCGAATTAGACTTCATAATGCACCAACATCATTGAAACAGACATTGAGAACCCGGGAGAGTACAGGATATATGTTTCGTTCTAGTTCCAGACTCTTTGTTAAGTATACTGATAATCTGACTATTTCAGTGCCTGTTAACTCTCAGTTAGACTGTACTGAGATGAACAGCTTTCTATTAGGAGTCATCGAATGCTTTTTGTCTGATTATCTTAAACTAAATCTTTCTAAATGTCAGACTTTTAAGTTTAGTTTCCGATGTAAAAGAAAGTTAAATAAAGCTATTAATTCCCATGATCGTTGTAAAATTGATGATACTGATATAGAAATCAAGTTAGACGTTGCCTTGGACTAATTCCTTATTCTGACGTATCTCGGTATTTATAGTTGAACATTCCATCTGCCATTTTGCATTAAGAAGTTAAAGCACTCGGGCATAACTCAACCCCCGCTCCTCCTCTTACAGCCTGTTTGTCAGCTCTTACATCTTAACTATTCTTCTTTATTGTTCACCGTTACTTATTCTTTTCTGTGTTGCTTTAAAAAAAGATGATATCATACTTCGTAGAACTCTGAAGACTATCAGTAGGGTGGTATCCCATTGGGCTACATCCTTAACATCTTCATTGATGATAGGAACTTAATAATTTCATGCAATACATTCGCTAAAAGCATGTTGTCAGACAATGAGCGTCCACTTGAGCCGCAGCTTTCACCTTGCGTCTCCTCCTCCTTAGGTAGACCAAGAAGTCATTTCAAAAGACTTTATGCACGCGCGTCAAAGCATAAAAATTCCAAGATACTATGTTTGGCATGTATTTTATGTGATGAAAGCAGTGTCAGGTACGAAATGACTAACCTTCTTTCCACTAGTAAATAAACAATTTTCTGAGTTCATATTAATTTGTTTATTAGATATATCACATACAGCGATGAAACAGTATTATTTACTGGATGACAATGTCTGGAACATAATTTATTAGTATTCATAGTCATACTGCCAATTATAAACACACAACTTCGAAACTTCAGTTTTATAGTTTTCTTTGTTGTCTCCTGTTTTCCGTCGTAGTGGCAGTAGAATTTTCCAGATGTCCAGCCGAACAGGTGTTGATTCGATAAACAAAGCTTCCGTTATCAATCTTTCTTCCACCCTGTTATATCAGATTTTAAAATTGTCATCTAATCCCAACATCATCCTATTGTATGGTTGTGTGTCATTGTATGTAGTGAGTGCTATGGCTGAATTATTCTCTAGATTTCTTATCTTATTCCCCGTCCTTATACCATCAAGTTTTACTGTTATTATTCTTATTATGTCTATGGTCCTCACCATGCTATGTCAAGAAAATATTAGATTCAATACTCTATAACATGCTAAGATTTCCATACTTCATATGGACAACACTGTTTGAAACAAACCTACTTTTGTTATTACCATCATTATCATTATTGTAGTTATTATTCTCATTTTGTACTCTGCACAGTTTTGACATTATTCCTACTGTAAATGTGGATAAGTTCCTGTGGTTAGTTTTAGAGTAAATTAGGTGCAAAACTGTGACAGATGCTGAAAATTCCATAATGTATTGTAAGCACTGTTTTTGCAATAAAGCAGATCATTATTATTATTATATTCAGCTGAAGGGGATTTCATTATTTCAATTTTGATCATGGATTTATATTATTAAGGGAAACACTGAAAGCCAGGATGGAATACCGGACAGCTTTTTCGTCCTAGCTTGGCACTCATTAGTGGCACACACCCACCGGATTTTTATCCTAGGACCTCCCGGTTACAGGTCAAGCCTGCATACCTTTCAGCCACGGCAGAATGGTTGCCAACCACGTATGTAGTTCAGGGTTTGGTTCCCGTCCGACGCACACCTTTACCTCACTAAGCCAGTAATAAGACCGGTAAGGAGGGAGGGTTGTGCGCGAGGCAAGCAACCTCATCCCGTAAAAATAAAACACCACTGCTACCGAAACTTCAAGCCTCTAACTTGAAGCCCTATGTTCCACTCAGAAGGACCACTTCGTAATGTCTTCTTCTATGAGTTACTCACCTTCATTCTGCAACATGGACCACTGGGTCTGGTACCGGCAGCTCAATGATCTACGAGCTCACCTTGTAACCAGAAGGTCCTGGGTTCGAATCCCGGTGGTTGCGTACTGACAAAAGACTCCCAAAATGGGACGAAACAGCTTTCCAGTACTTCCAGGCTGGTTTTCCAATGGTTCTTTAACTGATGTCAATTCGAACCCTTGAGAATACATTTCTGTCACCTTTTATACAGCCAAGCGAATGTTTTCCTGATAAATGCCGATGTTTAAGTACTATATAATGATATCGTAACACTCTACATCAAAGCAACAGTGAACTTCAGTCTGACTGAAGGATGTTATGTGACTCAGCTTTCTGAAGATACTCCATCAACACTATTGTTTTTGATATCATCTGGTGACCGATTTATGAAAAAAGTACATTGCGTCATTGCAACATTTAAATTAGCAATGGATTCAATCGATCATTTGAAGTTGTTATTCTTCTGACTCGTTAATGGGATTGTCTTCGCGAATTTAAACGACAGCGTCCCAGGGTTGCGAAAACTACAATAACCTTGAACGCATGTTAATCGTTGGCTAACAACACTTGCCATTATAACAGCACAGATATGAACGCTGTTCACCAAATAAGGAGGAAATTTCCCCCAGATCACGTTTTTAAATATTGTTTGAACAATGTGGTAATAGCTCGTTAGGGTTAGAATTAGGGTTAAGGTTAGGGTTACGATAAGGGATAAATTTAGATTTGGAATTATTTAATTTTAATTTACTCTACCATCCACATTTTCCCAGTACGTAGTCGTCGATCCTCTTACTGGAAAGCATAGTAATTGAACCAAGGGTTTTTGAGGACGACTGGAAAATAGGATAAGAGCAATAAACGGGTCACAAAACAGCCCATCTTCAGTCATCTCGGTGAATACATTTACAGAAACTGGTCTAACTTAAAAGCTGATAGTCTTCATTATAACTGCGAAGTATTTTAATTAAGTCATGACAGAGAAATGTACCCTGTTTAATGTGTTTTCACATCATTTTCTTGTAAATATACGTCATTTTTTGTGCGAAAACCACTTATTTTTATGATTGGTCGGTTCAAGGTCACTCGTGCGTTCGTATCCCTCGGGGACGCTATTGTTTAACTTTGCCATTGTCTCTACTGAATGTTCTAAGTTTCGGATACAAAATCAACATAACTTAGTTACTAATACTTTTGCTAAGAAAAATAATAAAATAAATCAGAAAAATAATATGACCTCATAGAAATTTTCTTTTTGTATATTGCATAAAATATAATCTATGTGTAGGTTATTCAATAAAGTTTATTACCGCGTCTCAATAAAGTCATAAATTTAATTTTAGAGGTCATCGCTGATGAGAAAAACAAATAAATAAAAGAAGCAACAGCTTAACTGTTTAATATTTAACATTGAATCAACTTCATGTTGACTATGAAATGCAGTTTGGCGGATAAATCCAGCTAAATCTTGAAGCTCTCCCTATTTTCCAGGCTTAGAAAGCAAATGAACAAAAGAAATGTTAGTGTACTAAGTTTACTCAAGGAACTAAGATGAATACTTAAATGTCCAGATCTTATTTGATGGTGAACTGTATATATATATACATATATATATATATATATATATATATATAATGTCCGATAGCTTATTGCTTGCCACTCAGTTAGTGACTTGTTTGGACCAATAATAATAAATATCTGTATAACACTGTGTGACTCTATCAAAATAAAATTTACCCATAATGCAATAATAATAATTTGCTTTATTCCAAAACAGTACATGTGATACAGAATGGAATTCTCAGCATTTTTACTACAGTATTGCATCCAGTTAGTACATTATCAATAAATAGAATTCCACATAGATTAAGGAAATCTCAGTTCATTATGAAAACAACATATTGGCATGTCGGTAGCAAAGCCAAAGTTGAACAGTGTTTGAAGGTGTTAGAAAAGTAGGTGCTGTCATATTTACTGGCGTAAGCGAGAGAAAGAAACAAAGCAGCACATAACGGAAAAAAGAGAGAGAGAAAAGGAAAAGAAGGAAAGAAAATGTTGTACCTATAAATGATGTGAGTTGGAAAGACGAGATCCAGTTGTACTACTGACTATTTAATGAATTATAGGTGTCACGCCTAATGCTTTCTTTATCACACAGAACACGAGCTAAGTAGGGTATGGTTGAGATTTTGTACTTGCTGGTGCGAGCATATACTTTTCTATATAGGCTTCTGGTTTCGCCTGATGAGATGCAAGGGGAGAGTTGTGAGTGAAGAGGGTGGTGTGAGTTAGATAAAATGGATTTAGCCCATTTTTCACATGAATTCATGTGCCTGTCGACCAGAATATTAACAAGCTGGTTAAGTGGTACGTTGCTTACCCTGCTGACAACCTTCAACATCCTGCGTAATATGGTATAGTCTTTCTTCAGTAGCCCGGGAAAAACTAAGGGGGAACAATAGAGAATAATAGGTAGAATGCGAGAGTTAACGAATTGTAGGAGTAAGGGTTGGGTTATACCAGAATGTTTTAACTTCTTGATGTAGAAGTAAGACAGAATATTTTCTTAGAAGTCGCCAAGATATGAGACGACCAGGAGAGATCAGCAGATAGAATGACGCCTAGGTATTTAATTTCCGACTTGGTTTCTATTTCAGTGCCATCTATGTTGCACACCTCGTGAGAGCTAACCAGTTTGTTTAAGTCGGATTTATGTCTAAAGGTGAAATTGACTGTTTGGCATTTGGAGGGGTTT